CCTCGCTTGCCAGCGAGATGTCTAATCTTGGAAACTCATTGTCGTGGGGGTTATGTCTGTTCTGCCACGAAGAATTCAAGCGGCCCCCGAGCGGTGCAGAGAGACTCAGAGTCATGCCTCATTGTTGCCCGTGCTGATTTACTGCCGTGTCACAAGAAATGCACTGCAGCGTCGAGCGACTGCATCCAGGGCTCCAGTCCGGAGGTCACACGGCATTGCAGCCTCTCGACAGGTGCCGCTCGGTCCCCACCATGTGAATCACAGGCCGAAAAATGCTGCATCCAAGTAACAGTCCTGCCCTGTTTTCTTGCATTACACTTTCCCAAATCTTCCATCCTCCGGCCCAATTGTGATTGTAGAAGGAGGTATAACAATCCAGTCATTATAGTCACCAGATAAGTGCTTGTGTTCGAGATTGAGGCAATCAGAATGGATGATCATGGATGATGCCGTGATATAATGTCACACTGATACATGTTGATCGAAGCCATGACGCCTCGGGAACGCTTTGCCATTATCATCCGATGTATTCGATCGAAAGCAAGGGACGGACGGTGATGAATGTGATTACGAATTTCAGTCTCAGGGTGCATGTCCAAATTAAGCTCCCGTCTGTTTACTCCACTACACCGTTTCATCCGAAATAGCTCGGCAGCGGCCGGTCCGCAGCCGAACCACAATCAGTGATGTGCGTTGCCAGCTCGCCGGGTTTCCGGTCCGCATGGAGGTGAAGCGGGAAGCTGAACCATCCGTGGCGGTACACGGTCAGAGAACGCGTACATTTTGATCATGGAGAATCGCGGGGCATTAGAGACCGTTGCCAAGACCAACCGCCGTGCAGACTGGCAGACTGGCTAGCTTCATGGCCGAACCAGGTTCCGGTACCCGACTGATACGAAATACGGGTGCGGGTTTCAGCCGCACACCAACGCCGGCGTTCTACCGCGCCACCAACACCAACTAACATGACGTAACCTTGTTAGATTTACTTTTTGCCAGGAGCAAGGCACATATCACGATGGTTGGCGTTCCTAGAAGCCGGGGGTGTCTCTTGTGCGTGAAGAGACGGGTGAAGTGTGACGAAGTGCGCCCTGCGTGCGGGAACTGCATCAGATACGGCGCCGAATGCCCTGGCTATGATCGGAGCTTCAAATTCGTGGCCGGCAAACACCATGTCCGTGCCAGGCGGCCCCGAGACCTGCACGAGACTGTCTTGGACTTGTCTTCGTCGCCGGATGAAGATACATCTGGCCTACCCTCATCCAGCCTGGCCATACGGAAGCGTGAATCCCCCAGTGGTTCAGAATCTGAATGGGACCCGCCTAGCCTTGAGCTGTACTGCCCCAGCGAAATCACATCATACTATATTGTCGGGATGATCGATCATCTCTTTTTGCTGCGCCCGCAGGAAGAAATCATGTTCATCGCGCCGTGGTTTACAACAGTCCCTCTACAACTCGGTCGGAAGGTTCACCTGGACAGTGCCATGTGCTCCTTCACGATGCATGTCTTAGGGAAAGTCACCGGAGATAAGCGTCTTGTTGGCGAAAGCCGCTCTCTCTACGGCCGGTCTCTTGTCGCCCTGCAGAAGGCTCTAAACCACCCGATAGAATGGAAATCCCAAGAGACCTTGTGTGCAACTATGATTCTATGCTTGTTCGAGGTAAGCCTACAAGAAAATCAGTCGAATCAGAGCCCCGTTTCACATTCCAGAGTTAACATTCTACGCAGTTGTTCGCAGGGACCAAAGATGCAGAGAGCTGGATGAAACATGCAGCCGGAGTCTCTTGGTTGATTCAACAACGCGGCCCTGGCGTTTATACGCATCCCATTGACAGGGCGATATTACTGTCGTTCCGCCCTATAATCGTGCGTCGAGACCTCGTGAAAAGGGGGCGCAGGTAGATCCCGTCCACTGACAACAACTTAGATAATGAACGCTCTCTTCTCCGGAGTGGATTGCTTCCTAGCCCAGAAAAAGTGGGAGAAAGAACTTGAGCTTCTCTCGGAGGAACTTGAGCGCGATCCTGTTTCAAACGCCCGCTTCCGATCAAACATGCCAAAAGGTTCATTCAGATTGGTGGGCCGATATCTTCACTATCTCGCCAAAATTCCTAGCATTCTCCGGCATGGCTGGGCACTTAGAGAGGCTGTGACGCATGACATGCCCATCGACCTAGCCAGTGTCTACCTGCTTACACGGCGCACCGAGAAACTGCACGCGGATTATCTTGCCTGGTACGAGAGAATCCTAGAAGACATCGATTTGCCAGAGGAGGTTCCAACCCAGGATCCGACGTCCCCGTTCGAGACCGTCTTGGCCTATCCAAGCCCATGGACTGGAGCTCTCCACATAGGCTGGTGGGCGAGTATGCTCATAATACAGAACGTCCTCAATGGCTGTCATCAGAACAATGAGTATACTGAGAAGAACCACGAATATGCCAACAACATCTTCCGCTCACTCGAGAATGTTTCTGCAGGAGTCATGGGGCCTTATCGGGTGGGCTACGCACTCCGTATTTCTTACGAATTTGCAGATGTGCCAACTCAGTATTGGATACACTCTTTGCTGGCCCGATTTCAGCCGCTTTATGCGGCTACAAGTGGCGACGTCTTTCCTCGTCCAGGAAGTACTAATCAGAAGTTTCTATGACATAAGCTGTACTGAAGATGCCGAATATATGGCTTCCATGTGCCATTGAGCAATGCCACTCAGCAAAAGCGGTCAGATATACCAGACTACGAGGCGAATATATAAACTCCAAGAAATCACCAGCTTGTTGACTTATTTCGGTCTGCAAAGGAGGATATTTGAGTGGCGCAGCATAGAACGATTAATTGCACGGTACCACTCAGGTTATTCCCACCAATAGACTTACAAATATTGGTACAAAGGTGTCATTATTATCATCACCATCAGCAATGATCGATTTTCTCGTCTCTATCGCCATTATCCTCAAGAGAGACCATCACTATCGTGCTGAATCACACCACTCCATACCCTATTCGATGGCATCCGTCATTGGCCTCATATTATCATTTTAGAGAGGATGAAGTCAAGCGCATCCTTTCCATACGCGCGACCGTATCCCTGGTGTGTTGGGAAATCTTTTCCCTTAGCACAGAATGGATCAGGAGAGTCGCAATATGACTGTATCCTGTCCTCAAACGCGGGACATTGGAACCCAACGGGGCGGGCAGCAAACTATCTGTATATCAGTATCTGGTACTTAGTAGATGGCGCTCCCCGGCGACTTACACCAGGTTCTGTTGCGTTGCCGACATTATATGGTAGTCCTGCCACATGCCGTGGGTCTCCCATGAAGATGAGCGCGGCGACCTTCTTGCCTATTGGAGCCGATATCAAGGTCGATGCAGTGAAAGGCAGGCTCTCTCCATCGGGGCCGCCGCAGAATGCATCGTCCATGATCTGCGCGCCCTGTGGAGCCACGTCAGGTCTTTGTGCTATCACCAAAGAGCTCCTAAGAGGCAAACGTACCTGCGAATAACCATGCATGATGAGGATACTGTCTGGACACCTTGCCGAAAACGCTTCCAGTTGCGCCAGGACGGCCGTTATCCCCTCGGCGATGCTGGAGCTGTAGTTCGCGCCGCCAGCAGCAGGATAGTCAACTGCCTCCGCCGTGGCTCCCGGAAATGCCTTGAGCACGAGGTCGACGAGTTGGAAAGAAGTTCCGAAGCCCGGCGGCGCCGTTGTCTCTCGCGCTGCAATGACATGCACCTCAGGGCATGCAGCGCTCGAGTTTGGCGGTATGGTGATGACGTTGGCCAAGCTGGCTACAACACCCGTTGCGCTGCAAAGGAGTGAACACAGCAGCAACGGCGATGTCGTGAAGATCTTCATCTTGTGGTGGATGTGTGTTTGTGTATGTCACAGGGACAGGAAACGAATGGATGACCGAAAAACTCCAGAAGACCCAGCGAACCTAGTTCTCTGGGTCATCGAAGGGGTTTTAGATGGTTCCTCTGATGATCGCATGCTTCATGCCGACTTGGCGGCTGTAAGGGTTGTGAGGAGGGCACGCACGCGCCTTACATTGCAAGGACAGGCGCAGCTGCGGCGAATTGGTCCTCGGCCGAGAGGCATGAAGCAGCTTAGCTTGATCGCCTTGTTTTGCATGAGGGGCAGATCATGACGGACCATTGGCAGGCTATTGGAACATTGACTTGAGATGAGCCGAGCGGTGGTCGGGCTGTTGTTGAGTTCAGAAACTCTTCATAGAGGCTCAAGGAGACATCTCAAGTTCCCGTGCCGGGGATAAAATCTAACAATGCTAGACATCGCACACCGTGATAGCGTCATAAATCTGCCAAAGCCCTATTCCGTATGATTTTTGTAGGAGTGCATTCAATCTAGCTGGGGTAAACGCTTTGGCTGAGATCCTCAGACGAAACCGTATTGTGGGGTGCATACTGCTTCGGAAGAGTTCCGAAAAAGCCCCTGACGATTGAAACACCAAGACTTTCTACACAGGTCGGCCCCATCGTCCGCCTCCGGTCTGGACTCTTGAGCTTCTAATGTAAAGTCCAGGTCAACAATCAATTGAGGTGCCAAGAGGATAGTGGAGGGCAGAATCGGTATTGTTGTTCAAATCGTGTCGTATCGTGATGACACAAGCAATTACATCTGCCTGCAGTGATGTCTGATCAACTTAAGACTTGGCAACTGGTCAAACCCGAAACAGGGCATCCTACTTCCATGATTACATTGTGGGTAATTTTTAATAAAATAGAGTACAGTCACGATTCTGTAAGCAGGGCATATACACATACACGTCTTTCTCTATTGCCACATCGTCCGCAATCCAGACCGCGTACCAAACAGCGAACTCTGGATTTGCATCACCTAATTGCGAAAAAGCTTGTCTCAAATACCCACGCCAAGGAGATCTACCCGTTCCGCACAAACATGAATAACAAAAGTTTGTAATCATCCTTTACGCCGGTCGTGTTTGCCTCCACCTAGTCCATTCGTCTTAAACCATGAAGAGCATAGCTAGAAGGGCGAGACCCGATCTCCATCGTACCAGTACCTCAGACTGGTCGTACAAACGTCCAGGTGCGGCGCCGGTCCATAGCTTATTAGCGACGCCCCTGATAATTGTGTCGTCGATACTGCAGACAGTTTTACATGCTTTATCAGATCTTCGGCTAATAACGCCGCTGCTGTCTGTGATATTCGCAGTATCAGTCCAGTCCGCAACCTCCTGAGTTGAGTTGAACACCATCTCTAGCCACTGGATTTGCATGAATGCTTCGTCGTGCACAGTCATGTTGCCAGACCAACCGCCTCCATTACTCCACGCATTCAGTATGACCTGGCTCGGGTCCCGTGGCGTTTGGAACGAGATGCTCGCGACCTCAACGCCGTCCACGTACCAGGTACTCTGCTTCGGCGTCCAATCCAGTCTATGGACTGCCCAGTCACTCCAGTCCAGCCCGTTCGGCATCGTAGCATTCCGCGTTGCCTGAGGGATGTCGTCGCTGTCGTTGCCATCTGTGAAGGACGGCTGGTTGGTATATTGAATCATGTTGCGCGGGCCCTCCGTCAGAACCTCTATATCGGCTTCCTGTACTTGAGAGGGTTTGTCTCCGCCCCTGTATGTGAACAACGCCGTGCACGCCCCGGGACTTCCAATTGTTCGCGCAAGCATGCGCACTGATAAGAATTGATAACCCTTCCCGATGCTTTCCATCTCTGCCGCGGACTGGAAATCCGGATGGCGGGCCGTCCGCATGACCAAGTACGTATGAGACGTGGGACTGTCGTCCGTGTTTTGTGATATATAAATGTTGTTCGGGGAATTGACCATCAACACAGCCGCCGTGCCATCTGTCAGAGATCCGCTGTTATTCCAGCTCTGAATCCCCCAAGTGCTGTTCCATTCTTCTGTTGTGAAGTAGCCACTCGTCGGGTCTGCATCGGCAGCGTCATCAGGATCTGTCAGAAGTTCCGGTACGCCCTGATATTGTGAGAGGTTCCTGAAGTCGTAGAACCGATGGTCAGTGTAGAAGGCCACGTTTGAGCCATTGGTCATGTAACAATCGCAACCGCTGTCCTTGACGAGCTGGGCCTTTGCGGTTACCACCGGTATCAACGTCGAACCGAGTAGCGCAAAGGTCTTCAGCGACGCACGAAGCGACATGATGACCGATTGAAAGGCAACGGAGATGTCCCCAGAGACTACACAGCACGCCTTGTCTGTATCAAGGAAGAGAAATAGGAAATATTTCCTGAGCGGGTGCGATATTAGGAAGATGCTCCGAGGGAGACGGGATGTAAGCCAGCTGTATAGATCAAATAATAGCAATGGCAGCAACGGGAAGAACGCAAGAGGCGGGTAAAAGGGCCATGATGAGGCCTCCCCAAATTGAGGATACGACCGAAAACCAGGTCAGTGACGAACGAGAAGAGAGAGAAGCGGAGGAACTGTTCAATTATAGATGGCGGCTAAAAGCGAAAGCAACATGTAGAGTGATGGTAGTCGTCTATCGCCAAATGGATGAGCGAGTTCACCGGCGACTCTGGCCTTGGTTTTCTGGGCGACACCGAGAATTGAGAATAGTTTAATTAGTAGAATAAATCTGCATATCTCTAGGCATCTTCGCATTCAGCTGGACAAGCATACTACTATGCTCGTTTTTGAGTTGAAGGATTTGCTGCGGCCTGCCGCAGCATTTGATGGTCCCAGTGCGGGAGCGGAGAGTTACGTTAACGTTGCTGAGGAAGACCTGCAGAGATCGTGCCCAACAACAACAGGCTATTCAAGCTTAACCTGCCTCCGTAGCCCAGCAGCTGAGGCCACCTGCTGGCAGCTGGCGCCCTTTGACTTACCTCCCCTATTTCACTATTCGAACATTCGCGAGTTGAAACTAACACTCACGAAATATTTGAACATTATACGTAGCGCAAGCACACATTTTCAATGGCAATCATCAATTAGCAAGTAGGTACAAAGAGTATCATACATTCTCCAACTGCAAGAAGCCATGCTCCTTGTCGAAAGTGAAATTACAACGTCCTGCAATTATTCTAGTTACGGTTATCTTCCCTTGTCGTCACGAGTCGTTGAAAGTCAATGAATGCAATTTACAGTTTGCCCCTAACCGATGGCCCTCAAGGAGAATGTGCCTGGATAGGCAGCGTAAAGCTGTCATCATAGGAAGCCTCCGGCAAGTCGGTAGCTGACTTGGATTCCGGCAACTGCCCCGTTGTCTTTGACTTCAGCGGCAATGAGCTCACAGGTCTAGACGGGCTGCCTAGATACGACGTTGACAGAGCACGGTTTCTTTTTGAACTAAGCCGCCATGGAGTGCCGCTGACATCGTCGTATGGCTTGACGTGCTCGAAGCCGGGTCCGCCGGGTTTCTTGTTCCATCGCTCTGAGAGAACAGTCTCATCACCGTCGCTGTCCGAGCCGTAGCCCAGTTCGTTTCGCGGATTTGGCCGAGAATTCCCTTGGATAACTGCGTTGGCGTCGGGATTAGACACAAACATGAACGGGGAAACCGGGAAAGTGTCGGACTTTGATTGCGGCCCTGTGGAGAAGTGCTGCCCAGCGGTAGATGGAGGTGACTGATATTTGCTGTAACCAGACAGATGATGGGATGCCTCCAACATTTGCTTTTTAAGTTTTCTGCGTCGTTGAACTAGGTAGACGGCACCGATTGCCATGGCGATCACGATAAGTGAGCCAAAGGCAAGGCCGAATGCGAGTCCGAACATCGAACCATTAGGAGGCAGATTCTTCGAGTCTGGCAGCGAGCGAGCGGTGTTAGTCAATACAGAATGAGCCAAAAGCGTCGTTTCAGGAGCTCAAGATGCAACTTGCCTTCGCTTGAACTTGAAGTATCCACTGCCATGGCGGGTTGCCATTCTCCATCCTTGTACATTGCTTCGATAAGTATACCGCCAGAAGTGTAGTACACACTGATTGCCGCGGAGTCAATCCTGCTCACGACTGCGAGATCGGCATTTGGTTCATCGGCAAGGGGCCAAGCTGTTGATTCTTGCTCTTCCATGAGAAACCATGTTTCTGGAGGTCCTGTCATGGCGTGATGCAGACGCTGATCGCTTCCAATATAGAAGACATGGTATCGGTAATTGCTGTCCAGGGCCACCCCCAGAGCCTTGGGGTCTCCAGTCCAGCCAGGAAGCGTCCAGGTTGGAGATTCATTGGAATAGACGTAGCTTTCGGGCGAATCTTCTTGACTGTGGTGTTTGAGGAGTGATCTCGGGAATGTCGCTATCGCGCCATGATTGTGAGTCTTCTGTATTTTCGAGCAAACGAAAGATCGTCAACCTACTGATGTGCCAATCATCCGCGCCATCCGAATCCATGACTTCGATGTTATGGTCCCTTGGAGATACCACGACAGAAAACGTCCCACCGGAACCAGAGACAGCACCAGCAGCACCAAGTATGCGGCCCATCAAGTTGCTGTCTTGCGAGACGACACCGGCGAAGTTCCAGCCTTGAGAGTCACCCGTCGCTTGGTAAATATGGTTGTGATGGTCCGAGTAGGACAGTTTATACGCAGGATCCTCGCCATCTAGGAGGACCACGGCCAGACCGATGTCCTCGGATGAATGTGCCATCTGCATGATGTAAGTGTTTTCGCGGTGAAACCTGCCTGTCGAATTGTCACATGAGTATACATTGTTGACGATGTTCAGGTCCTCCCCGAGATAGAACACAGATGCCTAAGAAAACATGTTAGTGGGGTCCAACCCGAATGACTATGTATAATATCACTTGCCCAGCTAGTGACCCCGTCATAGTGTCCCGTGGCTGTGATGCTTGTTCCATTGAACGGAACGATTCCGACCTCGAGGACATTCGGCGGATCGACAGGGAACACCAGAGTGCTGCTGTTGCAGATACTCGCAGAGATAATTCCGGTACTAGCATTGTGAACGATGAGTGAGGTCCCGAAGTGCGTGGCCCAGGCGGTCATTGAGGAGGCATACGCGCCTGCGCGTAGGAAGAAGATCAGGACAGTCAACATCTTGCTCAAGCAGCGGAGATAAGCCATTGTCGATATTCTCTGACATCCGTTGAATCGCGAGATGTATGTTGTTCAAAGATGGCTCAGCCCGTATCGAGGGTAGAGAGAATGGCCAAGAGAGTCGCGTGTAGGCGTTTTCGTGGTTGGTGGATGGGATACTGATAGAATGTTGTCGACTAGGAGATACTTACGACCTATTCCTTTACGTTGATCAGGCGATGATGAAAACATTCAGAACAGGGGGTATGCCAGATACGCGAATGTATTGACTCATTGTTTAGGCTTGGACAAATCAATATTGGACTCATCCGAAGTGTACTACTCTTTGCGGTTGCTAAGGCTATCAGAGGCAAGCCAAACCTTCAATCCTGAGTTCATTGTTGACATTGTCTAGGCTATATGACCTAGCTGTGGCTCCAGGCAACCTTCTTTTACCGTTTCTTCTGCTTGAAATATTTCTGATATACACGTCGGACAAGAGGCATTGCGGCAATGACGGAACATCAGACAGGTCTATCATGACTGAGTGCAGACACACATGTTGATTCATGTCAAGGAGACTTGAAATACGCACAAAATCATTCGCTGACAAAGTAATACAAACCTCTGCCAGGTAATAAACACTATTCGCTGAGGGTATCATGACCTTCTAAACAAGGGAATAAACAGAACCTTATATCAAGCTCATCACTCTCGTCGTTCAATATCTTTACATCTAATGACTACCGGTATTGCCATGGCGGAGGAATACACAGGAAAGAAATACACATCACTTACTCATTCTACTGCTCACCACATCCAGCGTGCAACGAGGCTGGATGATAGCATCGCACGGAGCCTTGTGGTGTCACACAAGTCTTGGCTGGCGATTCAAATTTCATTTGAATCAAGATCATGAAGGAGATCCTACCATCCTTGAAGGAAACGACGTGTCGAATAGGCTTTCGGGATTGACAGATGAGAGACAAGCCGTGCAACGGCTGCCAAGAGCGTTTGGAACGTTTCCCCACGAGCTACAAGCTTTGCCAAGAGCCAAGACGGCGAGCCGATGAGAGATGCCTTCACCCGTCTCAGCAGTGGTAGCTGTTTGCTTGGCGAACCTTGCTGTCGGGACATCGCGTCATGGCACATTTTGAGTGCGAATCAATACGGAGCATCCATCTCGAAAGCGCAGAGCCATGAATGGAGGAATATCATCAACTCCGTTCGTCAGCTTTCGTACGGAGACATGACCATTTGCCCCTTTTGGGAACCTTACTTACTATTATAGTATGCCTCAGGCGGTCGAGCTCATTTCGCACTTCCATGAACCGGCAATCGGGGGGATAATTAGCATGCACGATTCAAGCAAGCTTAATCAATATGCATGACTGGCTGGCCGGGTCAATTCAGGGCCCTCCAATCCATCCCACAGTGTATCGCAGCCGCCGCCCAATCCAGCGCACCCCTCTCGCACAAGTGATGCGAGTCAAGATGGCGCAGCACAGCAGAGCATGTGTCACCACACCCACACCCACACCCACAATCTGCTGTTTTGCCCACCAATCGACACGAGAGCATTGCCTGTACAGTGCTGGAAAGCGAATTTCGTAGCAGGATGGCTAGGACAATGAGAAACGACAACAATACCTACGATTACACACTGACCGGACGAGAACATTTGAGGGACGGAAACACAATACAATACGGTGCTCAGGTAAGAAGAAACATTTTGCTCGAGGGTGTTTCACCGTGTTTCTCCCCAAGCGGGGCCACTCCCAGGTTCAGCTACAGTACCCGTACCCGATCGCGACTTCCTCTACTGGGCGCTCCTGCCCTGCTGCGTATAACAAGTTTCTCGTTATACCTACTCTAGCTAATAAAGAATCTTAGTGCACACAGTGCCGTATTTAACATTCGACAAGGCCGTTTCGGTACGGAAACCTAAATTGCTATTACTTGGGGGGGCGGCCATTTACCTAGCGACTCTCCCTCCCCCTGCTCTCTCCTCTAAATCTTCCGGAACCAAGCGAGTCGCAGCATTAGAGTAATTTCTACTGCCATGGAAGGGCACCTTCCAGGACTTGCAGGTCCAGGGATGCGCGACAACAATGTCCGAAAGATCACCGACGGCCGACGACGACGGCGACAACAATCATGAGCAGCAGCAGACAGAAACAGAAACAGAAAGCAGGATATATCAGAGCACGAGCATTCTGCCTCGTTCCCGTCGTCCTTCCATTTCCAGATGCAATACCCTGCAGAACAGGTTGCTAGCTTCCCCTCGCTTTGGGCTGGTGGCTCGTAGTGGAGGGTTGATCTGAGGGCCGTGTGCCATCGCCACGCGCTAACTGTGTGCCGGAGTATCGCTTTATCGTGTTCGCACCTGCCGTTTCGGCGGAGGTACACCCATTCTGGCCCTGGCCTCCGCGCTTTATTTGCTCAAAGGCATGCCCGGCATTGGGCTCGTCTACTATGCAGTGTTCGCCGTGCAGACGAGTCTAGCCCGTGTCGACTCGGCCATACAGTGCGGGACGGGCACACTACCTGACTCCGTACTGCCGTTACTCGCTAAGGGAGGGCCACTTGCACCCGCTAGAGCCAGTTAGAACGAGTCCGGCAGGGGGGTGGTCCCCAGCGAGGGAGCGAGAGAACGGGGAGGGGAGATCTCAATACTCACTGTGTGGTCTCTGGGTCTCTGGGTCTCTGGTGGCCCGCCCGCTCGTGGGCTGTGCTGGTGGTGCTGGAGGCAGGTTATGTGCTGTGATGGTCCCTTCCGCCCCCCCGACCTCTTGATCAACAGCAGCAGCGTCAAAGTTCAAACACACTCGAGACAGTCCGGCCAGCAGGACCCTACCAAAATATCCTCCTCAACCAAGCAACAACATCCATTCGAGGCGCCTGGGTTCCACTGTGATCAGAGCACAGAAGACGCTCGAATCGCCATCACTGACTTACCCCCCCTGTGCCGTCGAATCTCCTCACATCTGGTCGAAATCGCCCATTCCCTCCCGGATTCCCTACTTCTGCACACCAAGAACTCTCGGCGCCCAGCCTTCAACGAACATCCCCCGCGCAGCAGTTCCACATACCATTACGCCAGTCTATTCAGTCGCGAAATCTTGACTTGGCTTTGACAGCTATCAATCAATTATCGACAAGACTTAAGCCCCAGGAAGAGGAACCAGACGAGAAAGGGCAATAGTCGGCCAATTATCGCGCAGTTCACCGTTCGAAATCTGACAAGACGCTGACGAAGCGGCCACCCGCCTTCCTCCCTACGGCCGACAGAACGACAAGTCACCAGATCTCCACGCACGAGCGACACCTCGCAGCTCCCGCGTTCGATGGCGTTTGGAGGATAGATAACTCAGGCGTGGAGGTGTCTCCTTGATTGTATAGCCCAGCGGCTGGCCGCCATCCCTCAAAGGACTTGCCAGCATGGAGGCTGTACAAATTGTCCCCTCGCCGACGCCGACGCCGACCCTGATCCACGCGAAGGACTCGAGTTGCGCCTCGCTCAATCTCCCGAGCGGCGGTGTCATTGCTCTACCCGACGGCCAGATCATTACGTTGACGTCGCCGGCCGCGTTCATACCCGTGTGTACTCAGCTCACGCAACCCGCAATCATTGCCAATGGAGGTGGTGGTCTTACCGTCGACGAGAGCGCCCAGGAGGAGGTGTCTGCTCCGCAGTTCTCAGACTTTCGCGATCCATTTTACGCATCAACATTTCCACAATGTTACGCCCTCGCTGCCACGACAGTGGTGGCATACACCCTCGTCATCATGCTGTTCATCACGCCACGGTCGTTTCTAGATGGTGGTGTCGTGGTTCTTGGTCGACGAGGTTTTACGACTGGTGGGACCGGTGGTACCAATATTGGAGGTCGACCTTGGCTTCAGAAGGTCGCCGCCCTCATGGTCGCTATTTCGCTCACGATCGCGACGGCAGACACGTTTCGCGTGGCCGAAGAACAGTACTCTTTGGGCATTCAGAATGCGCAGACGTTGCAGCAGGATGTTCTCGGAGGTACTGAGTTGAAGGTCATCCGCATCGTCTCCGAGGCTTTCTTGTGGCTTGCTCAGGCGCAAACTTTGATCCGATTGTTCCCACGCCAGCGCGAGAAGGTTATTATCAAATGGACGGCCTTTGCACTGATTGGTCTGGGGGTGATCTTCGACTCTCTTAACAGTTTCCTATACACAAACCAGGGCGCTCTGAGACCTCGGTCATTTACGGACGCCATACCCGCCTTGAGCTACCTCTTCCAGCTATCCCTCGGTGTTCTATACGCCGCATGGGTCATTTACTACTCCCTTATGAAGAAGCGCTTTGCCTTTTATCACCGGCAAATGCGGAACATGTGCTTGGTTGCTCTACTGTCTATCCTTGCCATCATTGTTCCCGTTGTCTTCTTCGTTTTAGATATATCAAAACCTGAATTCACAGGCTGGGGTGATTACGTGAGATGGGTGGGAGCGGCAGCGGCCAGCGTGATAGTGTGGGAATGGGTCGAGCGTATCGAGGCTCTAGAGAGAGAAGAAAAGAAGGACGGTATATTGGGAAGAGAAGTATTCGATGGTGATGAGATGCTGGATATGACACCAGGCGAGTTCGCTTGGCCGCGGAGGAGAAAAACTAGGAAGGGCAAAGATGGAGATGATGGAGGGGAGGATGGAGGAGCACGCAACCAGACGTCTACAAGCGGACGAAGCAATATATGGCCGACAATGTCATCGATAGCGACGCGATATAGACCACGGTCAAGAACAAGGAACGAAAACCAGAACCAGGCGTCCGAAGTTGCGGCACCGGAAGCAACGAATGCTGCACGGACGACGATAAGGTTCCTGCAGCCACCCCTATGGCCAGCACGACCCCCACCCGCAGTAACACCAGTCTCCCGAACAGACACTGCCAGCGCCGACAGCACGGTGTATGCAGTCAGGTATCAGGCATTTACTGATACCACCTCGAGAACAACACCCCCACCCCAAGAAACCGAACCATCTCTATCACGAAGCAACAGTGTCTCTAGCCGACATAGTAGTGGTGATGACGCTGAGCCGAGACCAGCAATAACACCAGAGCCATCTACTTCAGCCAGCCAAGCACCAAGCTCGTCGACGAATAATAGGTGGCGAGCCTTCTCACAAGCCAACCAGCTGTTCCGAAAGCCATCCAGATCTAACACCATTACCTCTGAAGGATCTCGACCATCCAAAAATCCGCGGTCGGATCACGAGGATAGTGGGAGGTGGGATCTGCGAGGCCGGCTTGAGGATTTTGCGGTGACGCAGGCAGAGAGGCTGCGCGAGCGGATCCGTCCGACTCCCGACACTGAGAGCTTGCCCGTCACAGTGATTCCGGCACCACCACGCAGAGGAGCTGCTCTAGCGCAACTGCTCGAAGAGGAGGAACATCCTCAACGGCAGGACGGTCAGCAATTGGCGCCTCAGATCTCGCGGGCCGACAGCAGCGTGAGCCGACAAGCGGCGCTATCTGGGCCAGGACCAGTGTCGACGCGTATGTGGCGTAGCGACAGCAGCACGTCCGCATCCGCATCCTCGCCCAGGGTCAGCACGCAGCCTGTGCAGGGCTTTCCACTTTCCATCAGGGCCACTTCTAGGCGAGAGAGCGAGCCGCCATTCATGTCCCCGATAGCGCAGGGCAAGCAGCCCGCTGACGGCTCACCTAATGGCGCAGCCTGAGCCAGACTGTTTCACGACAGAGACTTGGAGAATCACATTAGCAAAAGGTGTTCTTGGGGGGTTTGTTGCATTTTCGATGATATCACTGGGCATGGTCAAAACGTACGGCGGCTTGAATTACATCCGTTGGCATGTCTGGGAAGGCTGGCTACAATGGGACATTGGGAGGAAGAGCATGCGTCGGCGCTGGTTGGGATCATATATACTCGTGCGAGTCCTGTTTTTCCAGGACTCTTTTATCTATCATTGCCGTGATGAGTGGCGGCTCTGCATGATTCAATGTCGTTCATATCAACTTTACCCCGAGCGATACCATATTTGTATATACTAGCTCTGGACGCATGGAAGTACAGATTTGGGTCTGAACAGACTGCTTTTGTCGTCGACATGTTTACATAGGTTTATGAGCTGCCAATATGACGAATCTTGAAACACAGGCTACGAAAATCAAGTGGTTGAAATTATCTGATGCTTGGTATGAGGTTCCGGCCAAGTTTGGTTTTACTCCGACCGGTAGAGCACAGGATCCACGAACTACTTGAATATGATATAAGTTCATATAACGTTATAGTCTGGGCTCAAAAATCGTGCCCCGACCTTGAGACTAACAACTTCATGTGCGCGGCATCGGACAACTTAACTGCGACCTCAGGCTAGCCATTATCGCGCTCAACACTTTGCTGAAGGATTCATCTCGATGTCCGCGGGCGGCCTTTGAGATGAGACAATCTCCACTTCGTCTGCAGGAGCCGTGAATAGTGACGCGCTCGAAGCCCACAACGACTGTCGTCGATTCAAGAATATCGTGAGGCGCATTCTCCCCGCGGGCGCCCGCGACACGTGCACACCTGCCTTTGTATGCAGTCAAACGGCCTTGCGGGGCGGTGGCCTTGCCTCGATTGGGAGTAGCTGGGTCTTGTCAATGCTTTTCATCGTAGGGGGTTACAGGGGGGGGGGAGCCAAATCGTTGAAGATGTTGGTGGAATAGGGTATTGTACATGCAATATTCTAGGACACCTTCATCTTAGACAGGTTGCTTGTGTTCTAGTGGACTCAATAGTAATGCTATGCGAGACATGCGAGATATGCTTTGCCATCTGACGTGTGATGTACCACCTATGCTAGAAGGAGAGGACTGAGGCTGCATAGAGCAGCACAACACATGATTTGCTGCCAGAATAGCACACTTCAAGTCATTCACGTGCGCAGGAGCGCCCGAACTGCCGGAGCTTCCGGCGATTGCCTGAAGATAATTGTATCACATGGCCCGATGGTTTCGATGCATGCATGCATCTCGCTGAGTATAGAGCAGTTTGGCTAGTCTAGTGTGGTGATTCCCTCACATCTTGAGCATCTGTCCGGTGTTGATCTTGGTGTGAGGAGTGCAATGTACTGGATTGTGTAAGACAGCAATGTCTTAATTTAACCTTCCCGCGGAGAGCGAATTCCAATCCTAGCAAAACCCATACACAACCAAAATCCATAAGCACAGCAACAAGCGAGTGAGTGCAAAGGACCCGCGCAGACGGCACAGCAGTCAGTCAGTCGAGTGGAGTTTGTCAAACAAGACAAAAAAAGGACGCCCGGCAGAAAAAAAAGTCGACCAGATTCCCAGCCTAAGAAGCCAAGGTAGGGAAAGCTAGGGAACCGGCCCAGGGGTACCCGACTAGGCCGATTGGAAACCTTCAATTAATTTGAGCCTGGGGGGGAAATTGCACGACAACCTCCTGCTCGAGTCCTCGTCGTACTCCTTCTCCTCCTTCTTTCGACCGATCGACCGACTGACGGCTGACATCCTCGAGGACCCTCTTTCTTCAAATTCTGTGCCTCCTGACAATCAATTACCACCCCCGAATTGCTTCTCTTTTCACTTTGTCTTCCTTCATTCTTCTCCTCGTTGGTGTTATTGTTGTCCTTGACGACCCCCACTGGCGACAACCTCGTGCCACGCCCCGCTACAACAAGGAGAACAATACGGTCGAGATTGCGCTTACTCTCCCGACTGTATGACATTGTAGACCACCCGTGTCGCGCAGAGACCCCCTCTTTAACCCCCTTTCGAGTCTCCGCGAGCCTGTCCTCACACTCTGTCCGACAAGTCCAGACGAAACACACATATACGGCCCACCATGCCCGAAAAGAAATCATCCTCGGAGCCCTTCCCGCTTATCAGCACCGCCGCCGACCAGCTGCACTCAGCCCAGACCGACAATGTCGCGCGCCAGCGACGGAGGAAGTCGAGCAGCCTCGGCGGCGACCCTAGGGGAGATACCGGCGCCCCTGGCCTGGCCACGAGCCTGGCGCATCTCAACGCTGCTCATGGCGGCCATTCACACTCCAAGGACTCCAAGGCCGGCGATGCGACGTCCTCGAAACGCTTCTCCAAGCGCCGCAAGACCCGCAGCCTGATGCGCAAGGCCAAGCGCTTTGCCCTCAAGCATACCTGGGTGCTGCCCCTCATCATCCTCTTTGGCTTCCTGAGCCTCTACGCCATCAACCCGACCGAGTTGAATCCGATCCACCGCTTCATCTTCCTGTCCTACGAACTGCCTATCCCCGCTGGCTCCGCGCCTGGCACCCTCCCCCAGTATGGCAAGGGCCCCTGGGACGTCGCCTTTGTGACCTTCTATATCGTCGTGCTCTCCTTCACCCGCGAGTTCATCATGCAGGAGATGCTCCGCCCGCTAGCACACTACGCCGGCATCAAGTCCCGCGGCAAGCAGGCACGGTTCATGGAGCAGATGTACACAGCCATCTACTTCATGTTCCTTGGCCCCGCTGGGATGTATGTCATGAGCCGGACTCCGGTCTGGTACTTCAACACCGCCGGCATGTACGAGGGCTTTCCCCATAAGACGCACGAGGCCTACTTCAAGTTCTACTACCTCTTCCAGGGCGCATACTGGGCCCAACAGGCCATCGTGCTGGTTCTCGGCATGGAGAAGCCCCGCAAGGACTTCAAGGAGCTGATTCTGCACCACATTGTCAGTCTGGCGCTGATTGCCCTCAGCTACCGCTTCCACTTCACGTATATGGGTCTGGCTGTATACATTACCCATGATATCAGTGATTTCTTCCTCGCGGCAAGTCCTCCTCCTTACCGCTAACCTATTGAGACCCCTGCTAAACCTCATTCTCCGGAACAGACCTCCAAGTCCCTCAACTACGTCGACCACTGGCTGACGCCGCCCTACTTCTTCATCTTCATGAACGCCTGGATCTACCTGCGCCACTACCTCAACCTGCGCATCATCTGGTCGCTCTTCACCGAGTTCAAGACGGTCGGGCCCTACGAGCTCAACTGGGAGACGGAGCAGTACAAGTGCTGGATCAGCTTCGTCATCACCCTCGTCCTGCTCGCCTCGCTGCAGATCCTCAACCTCATCTGGCTCTTCTACATCATCCGCATCGCCTACCGCATGGCTTTCATGAACATCCAGGAGGACGACCGCAGCGACGCCGACGACACCGAGGAGGAGGAGGAGGTCGCGGCGCCGATCGAGAAGGCGCCCCTCCTCGAGGAGAAGGCGCCCGAGGCGACCAACGGCCACGCCGTGGCCAACGGCGCTGCCAATGCCAATGGCAAGACGAGGGCCGCCAATGGCTCAGCCAAGAGGAGATAAAGATGGCCGTCTATGTCTCGCCTCTTGACTTTTCGGCGCTCTTGGCTCCGGGAGCAGCAACGTGTGGCCTGCTCCACGTGTGCGTGGGGCCATCATTGTGTGAAAACTACCAAATTTCTCTTCGTTCGCTCTGAACCACGTCGTCTCTCGGTATACACAAACGGAGACTGACAACTTTTTTGTAACAACAACCCTTTTAAACCCAGCAAAACCGCGATTTCCTCGTCTCGGAAGTCAAGACAGGGCAGCAAGGCGGTGAAAGAAGAAACGACGAACCTGAAGCGCGCCGACCAGCAGCGGCGGGCTTGAAAAGAACACCCGCCCAGCTGAGCTGGCGAGCAGCTTCAAACTAATAATAAATCATGGCAGAGGTGTTTACGGCATAATGGGCAGCATATTCACTCGCTTGGCAGCTATTCAAAATAAGTAACAAACAATCGAGCGACCACATATATAAAAGAGCTTGTCGGTTAAGGGAGGGGAGGGGCGCAGCGAACAAACAATCATACATCCATCTGGTCTGGTGTAACTTTTCTGGATCAAATAGGGGCGGTCTGGGGGAAGGAAGGGTTGCGGTCCGGCCGGAGTCGCTGCTTACACTCGCTTTGTACCTTTGTTTTTTGATATTTTCTACTTGCATGCATGCATACGGAGATGAATGGGGCTCGAACGTTATTACGAGTTTCCTCCGTGGCGGTCGCTTGTGGCATATATTTACATATATATGGCCATGAGATGAGGTGGTCGGTGGATGGTGGGTGAAAGGTGTGTGTGAATGTGTGTATGAGAGACAGGGGGAGAGAGAGGGGACAGATGGCCTTCGTCCAACCTCTCGCTTTTTGGACAGGACGGACGAGAGCAGGCTAGTTCATCCTGCGGACTGAACTGGTGCTCTCGTCTATTTGCATGTTTCTTCGTGTCATACTTGAAATAGTCATTTTAATACAAGAAGGCATCTGATCCACGATGCGCCATCGTCTCTTCATCAAGTCTACTTACTCATTGGCAAGATCACCAGCACCTTAAGGGACCTTTCACACTGTCAAAAGTTGAGAAACCGGAATCCTGAAACCAAAGCTGTATTTTGTCCCGCTCTCGTCCTCAACCGTCGGGAGGTCCGGACGATCTATCATCGTCGTTATCATCGTCTATCTGAGCAATAGTACACACTCGCTTCCCTATGCCTTGTTCATCTTTTTCACAACTCCACTCTTCTCTCTCGTGATATAGTGTATTTCTCTGCCTCAAGATTCTCTTTTCCTGTGGGAAGCTCCGAAGCTCTCTTGTAAGAAGGACCATTTGCCGCAATCGCGATGTAGAACAACTCCCCAGACCAGACATCCCCATAAAGAGACGAGATTATTAAAGGGACCGGCCGAGTTTGTGACGCCAAAAGCAGCAAGACGAAGAAGACAACAAGAAACTGACAAGAACAACAACTGGCTCTACCGCCGGGAATCATCATGATCTTCCTCTGGGAATTTTCAAATGTAAACTTGACGCTCAGCAAAGCAGAATATACCGCTCTGAGACGCTGCCAAAACAAAAAAAAAAAAAAAATTTAAACGCACCCATTAAGCACATCGTGAACCGTTGACGCCAGCAATGCAAAAATAGAAAGGCCGCCTTTCAGCCTTTTCGCATTTTGATGGTCGTCGACTTCATAACGCCAACCTATGCTACGTGAGTCTTGGTGCTCACGTTACCTGTCGTCATTCATTCCGCGTAAAGAAAGACGACAATGGGAATCGATCCTTTGATGATAACCCCATCTATAGAAAAACGTGAGAAAGAAAAATTATTGAAATTATTGATCATTAAGGGGGGTGTCGAAGCGCTGATTGTAGTGTCGACCAGTCGGCCGCTAGGGAAGCGCTCGAATTTGTAGGGCTGAGGTTGTGCATAAGCGAACAGGGATTCGCGGGAAAACGGGTGGTAAGACTGAGGTGAGACGAAAAATGTGAATGTGCATGAACGACAGCATCCCCTGTTAGAGCTTATATCGCGTTGCGGTTAGAAGCGGTCGAATCGTCGCGAGGCTCAACAGGATCCGCAGGTGGTGTACTAGGCATGCTCTGAAGGATCACCGAAGACGAGATGCTATTATCGCCATCAGATGGGTATTCGTCATGGCCTCCTTGACTATGGCTGAGGCGAGCTTGTCGAAGGAGCTTTGCTGCGACTCGAGTTGCAACACGCGCTTCTTCGGCTGCTCGTTCCGCGCGCACTTGCTTCTCCCACATAGAGGCGTATTTGCCGCCTGCAGCGAGTAGCTCACTGTGAGTTCCGCGCTCGACAATTTCACCAGCATGGAGGACGATAATCTGATCCGCGTGTGTTATCGTAGACAATCGGTGACTATTATGAGTTAGTTAGCTCTCATGATTTCGATTGATTGTGCGGCTTAGACATACGCAATAATCAATAGTGTCCGGTCATTGCCCAACTGGCCAGTGATAAGCTCAGACTGGATTTGTTGTTCAGTCTCACTGTCCAGCGCAGATGTTGCCTCATCAAGCATGATGATTTTAGGCTTCTTGAGCATGGTTCGAGCGATCGCTACACGTTGTTTCTCACCACCACTTAGCCGTAATCCACGTTCCCCGACTTTAGTGTCATAACCATCTTGGAAGGACAGGATGCGATCATGAATACTGGCTGCTCGACAAGCCTCATATACCTCTTCATCTGACACGCTTGGGTTGCCATATTTGAGGTTATACATCAAGGACTCGTTGAAAAGTGCAGTGTCTTGGGGTACAACACCAATATGACGACGAACTGAGTCGATAGTGACGTCCTTGACATCATGCCCATCTATCTCGATAACCCCTGAGTGACAGTTGTAGTACCGAAACATTAATCGAAATATCGTTGACTTGCCGCCGCCTGACTCCCCAACGAATGCTGTGGTGGTGCCTGGGGCACACTCGAAAGTCAAGTCATTCAGCGCGGGCTTGCGTTTGTCATACCAAAATCTGACGCGATTCCAGCGGATTCTCCCGCTACAAGTCTGTAAAGGAGGTACGTTTGGACGATCAACCACAGTTGGTTTAACCTTGAAAAGCTCAAGTAGTCGTTCTCCCGACACCAAGGCTTGTTGAACTGTGCGATAGAACGTGCCAAAGAAGTTAAGAGGTCCTTGGAGCTGGTTCATGTATGTCGTAATTGTGACAAAGTCACCGACATCCCTTTTGCCGTGGGCAACTTCGTATGCTGCAAGGGTCATGATTGCCAGAAGGCCGGTTTGGAAAACCAGGGCTTGGCAGATGTTCATCATGTTCATACCCCATGTCACCTTGTACTCTGCTTTCTGATATGCCTTGATAGCGTCGACATACCGCTCCAGTTCGTACTTCTCAGCGTTGAAATACTTGACTGTCTCATAGGATGAAATAGACTCGTTCTTAATCGCCTCTTCTTCGCGATCGCAGTTCACCATAAGCCTTCGGTCATCAGCCCTGGTCGCAGCCATATTGATAGTCATAGTAAGATATGAAAATGTTATGATTGTGGCAAAAAGGGCGTAGACTGCACTGAAATTAAATCCGAAGACGAAGATCGCAATGATCAAATCCATAAGCATGGGGGTTACTTGAAAAGTCATCTGCTCCAGAAATTGATTGATGTAGGTTCCTTTGCTCATGGCAGACAGAACCTCTCCGGTTCGTTTTCCAAGATGAAAATCGAGCGAGAGGGAGTGAACGTGCTCGAAGGCTGCTGTCGCGAGAACCCGGTACGAGTATTGCTGCACAGGAACCCACAGAGTGTTCCTCCAGCACCCGAGAAGTCCAGACTCGCCCTGTAATGCCTTCAGGGCCAAGAAAAAGACCAGTTGCGAAGACGGTACGGCAAAGGTGCCGCTGGAGACAGCCAGTGCGAGGGCTTGAACTACCAGTCCGAGAGCGTACGGCACTAAAACATTGACAGCGCGTTGAAAGATCACCACGGTGAACGCGATGAGGACCCTAATTTGCAAGGGCGGCTGTCCAGAGGGCCACAAGTATGGGAAGAATACGGAGTATCCCCGAAGATATTCCCACCAAGTTTTATGCGGTAGCTTTTCAGGCCGATAGAATGCTGCGTGATCATCCCGAAGAGGGCCGCCACCTTCGGCCGTGCCATTAGAATTACTGAAGTCGGTGCGGTTATTACTTCTTCGCTGCTGCGGAGAAGTGTGATAGCCGTTTCCGTTTCCGTTAGTATGTAGTAGTGGGCTCGTTTCGCCGTTTATCGAGTGACCGGATTCCCGATCTTCCTCCTTGAGCTCGCGGCGGTGATACGAGGTCCCAATCTTCAGCAAGGTGTACAGCAGCACCATCCCAAGCAGAAACACGAGCCGTACAACCTCAATGACGAGGTCGGCGTTGTCCCACTTGCTTGGCCCATATCGAATGATAGCCTCCTCAGCAGCTGCATCCTCCATGACAGAGTGCGGGCCCTTGAAGGTAAGGTGCGATGCTAGGAGTACAATACCATCTCCTACAAACCCTAATGACCACATCACAAAATGGACAACACTTGGGCTGTCCTTCCAGTGAACAAGCGTGATCACCAAGAACAACCACAAGAACAGACCGCCGAGCACGTATACCTTTAAAAAAAACAGGTTAGCTCATCATAGGTACGACATGAAAACAGCTAAGGGAAGAGCCCAAAACCTACTATCTGTTCATCACTGCACCACCAGCCCCCTGCGGTAGCATGAAGACAGATGTTGACACCGTTGGCGAGGAATGATATCACAACAGCCGCTGTTCCGTACTGGAACACATGCCTGGCAGTCTTCGAGATAGCAACTGCTCGCGTGTTTGCCACCGAGGACTTTCTCTTCTTGGTCACGGGAAGAGGACGGCCACCAGGGCCGGTCACATCAGGTCGAACAGCATCCTCCTGGCCGCTTGATGCCAAGATGCTGTGGAAACCCAGGGTTATCCCGAATGCGACCAGAAGCACAAAGGGATACGCTACTTGGGCGTAGGACAAGACGGTCTCAGCCAGGCTCTGAGGACTCACAATCGCCAGCCTGGAGAGAAATGGCTGCGCCATGTTCGACGGAGCTATGAAGGGTTAGAGGCGGGAGGAGATAGGAGAGACATGGCGGTCTGAGCTGGAGGGGAGGGTTTGGCGGGGTTGAAGAATGATGGCAAGGGAGCAACAGCAATCGACTTACGCAGGCAGATGTGCAAAGGATCACCACATGGAGAGCATTGGCGCGAAAAGCTGGCCGTGGTAATCAGTGAGTGATCTCGTGTTGAGCTTGCCGCCGGTTAGCACGCTCGAGAATTACCGATGGTGGGGCAGGTGACAAGCGTACCCAGCACAGTGGCAAAGACAATTACTTGCTCCCAGCTCGCTCACGCCGCCTCCCAATAAGCTTCTGGGCAGTGCAGTGCAGAGGAGTAATGCAATGCACTCAGTTGAGTGCAGCTGCTGGGATGAAGCGGCGATGGTCAGTCAGTCAGTCGGTCAGCTGAATACTCAAAGACAGACGGACGGACAAACAATCAGTCCTTCCAAAGAGAGGCCGATGAGGGAATCAGTGTGAGCTTTGTGCAAGGTCACCCACACCCTGGCAAAGGGGAAGGAGGGAGGGAGGAGGACGGCGGGGGAATTGTCCAGTTTTGTGAAGAAGAAACTGGACAACTCTTGGGAGAAAAACGAATGTGAGGGGACAACGTGTGTGAGGAGGAGGAGGAGGTCGAGGTCGAGAAGGAGTAAGGAGTAAGTAAGTAAGTAAGTAAGTAGGTAGGTAGGTAAGTA